GGAGCCATCGATCTCATAGTCTACGTTTTCATTTCTAACCCTTCGTACGTTTTGGTTCTTTTATATGTATATTATTGTATCTACTTTTTGGCAACACCTTACTTTTAGGATGGAAAGACAAGAGGATTGTCACTTGTTTAACTACAAAGAGTGACACAGGAATGTTGACGGTCAAAAGAATTAGACGAGGTGGTATGGATGTACTCGTCAAGAAACCAAAAATTGTATTGAATTATATAAAATATATGGGTGGTGTTGATCGGGCCGATCAATATGCATCAACGTATTGTTTTCTGCGAAAATCGCTGAAATGGTCGCGTAAGCTTTTTTGGGGGGGCATGGAAATTTGCCTCATCAATTCTTACCTTCTCTATAAACAAGAAAAGACTACAAAAAGAGGAAAATCCACTGAGCCATTTGCGATTTTTAAAAACACTTGTTGAGCAGTTGAGAGGAACATATCGCTAGCACCGTGAGCAAGCGTCTAAGTCGCATTCCGATGACATCCGACTCAATGCAAAGCTGCACATAATACTTAAAGGGCCGAAAAGAGACTGTAAGGTTTGCTTTGACCGTAATACGCCTGGAGGTAGACGGGAAGTAACAGATTATTGTGATACGTGTCCTGATAAACCTAGGATGCATCTTGGGTATTGTTTTACGAAATATCATACAAAAACTAATTACAAAGTATAATATTTCTCAAATTTTCTTGTTTCTGATATAAATATAAATAAATTGGTGAAATTTTATTATTTGTATACGTTTGTTTGTTTATAAATGATTTTAAAGTACATGTAATATGTTTCCCTAATTTGGCCGAAGTCGTCTCGAATTGTTTGGTTTGCGCAAGCGAAAGAGGCCTCGAGTGCAAAGAGTTAAATTGGAATTGGAAATGGCCTGCTAGGGTAGCCTTACTGATGAGTCCGCTAACAGGCCCAGAACGAAACGCATCCATTCCTTTCCCTGACGTCCCTGCTAACTATGCCGCAACGCTGCGACCAGCTGACTTCAAACGACAGTGGAGGGGGACTCCCAACACGTGAACCTGTTGGAACGGCTATACAAGGCTCCAGACATCGTAATCTCCAATACGATAAAAACTATCGCGCGATACCACCCCGAAATAAGCCATTTCTCGAGACGTTCCCGATACACGCGATAACATCCAAGTTAGATGACCATACTCGTCCGTTATGAAAGGAATGAATCCAGGAAGAGAGGCTGCCGACTATGGAAATTGTGGTAGTGGTGACATAGATTTTTAAGTATATATGTGTTGGGATGAGTGGAACAAGTATGCATGGAATTCCCATATGTAATGAATTCACGTTATCATGATAAATGAGTATGCGTGTAATGATTGAGGTGTGTGTGAATTGTGTATATCAATACAAAGTATGAAGAAGAAAGAAAAAAGGAGAGTGATTTCGGATACGTTAGTTGCAATTGAGTTATAATAGTGAGAAGTCCTGTGATAGAGTAATTGTGAGAAATTAATTATATTTAACCTCTTCGCTCCTAGCGCCGCATATATGCGACACCCACTCGACGACGTGTGGGTACGAGCGCCGCCTATATACGGCATCTAAATGAGGTGTATACAAGTGCCATCTGTAGTCAATAACAACGATTTCTCGTTATCGGCTGAACATTTTCTGTTGATTTTATTAATATATTGGATTAATCGCTTCTTAAAACTGCTCTTTGTTGAAACAATACCAAAACGTATTGCACAATAAATTTCAAACATCAAAACGGTCTTCACTATCTTATGCCAAATAACTATCGAATCCATTCGACAGTAAAACGATCTTTCATATACAGTTTTTACAGGAATTTCGAATATTTGTTATTTAAGACTTAGAAAAATGTGTATACAGTAACCACGCGCACTGTGCATATTTCTGGCGCGATTTTCCGTTCAGTCACGGTACTTGGGCGGATCGGACTGCCGTAGCGAAAGGGTTAAACGTTATATTTGTGTTTTATAATCTTTCTAATTAAATAAAGAATTGTTCTTGTTGTTATTAAAATTTCATCCACCACTAACAGAAATCCTCCTAGACTTCCCACATAACCGACGGAAATGATTAGAAACATCGCGGGCACGAAGGGGTCTCAGAAATCAGGTACAACGAATACTCACATTCGTTACGTCACGTCATTTGATAAACCGAACACAAACTCGAGATTACGGCCGATTCGCACCCATTCCATTACCCAGACGACATGTGTCCTTTGCAAGGACAACCACCTTACTCAAGCATGCGCAAAAATAATTAATGCCACTTTAACGGAGCGTTTTGCATCGATAAGGGAAGCAAGGTTATGTACGAACTGTTTACGCGCCGGTCACGGAGTGCAAAAATGCTTGGCGAGCATATGCAGACGGTGTAACGGAGGGCACTATACATTATTGCATGAGGAACAGACAGGCGAGCCGCAAGAAGCGCTTCGGGTAAACGTTTCGGCTCTCGAGGTAATCCAAGGGGCACAGGTTGTACTATCCACCGCGACCGTTTACCTTCGGGACAATCGGAACAAGCAGCTACCGTGTCGGTACTGTTGGAAGAGTAGATCGCTAAGTTACCCACACATCTATAGGGACGAGGTTCTTTCGTTCTTCGACCCCCCTCCCTTTTCTCGCTCTTGTGAGTCGTGCATACGGAAACGGGCAATCGGTGGTAGCCTGTTGTAGCTTAAACCTAAACCTAGCTTCTAGTTGTAAACAATTTTTTTAGTTTTGTATTTCGTCACTAAGTCATTCTTGCTTAACGATAATTAGTAGCAGACGGTTCATTGAAGAGATTGTATTTGGCTTCGAATAGTAAGTGGACTGTGTGCTTATCTTGATATCGTGTGTTTTTATATTCTGCGAGTAACTAAGTCTACATTTATGAAAACCCTTGGTAAGGCTATAAATTTTATTACTGAATGGAATTTCCGAAATTGAGGTACAAGGATAAGGATTATAAACGGAAAAGTGAACTGATTTATTGCCTCGTTCTCCAGGTACTTGGGGTATATAATGGCTAACCGTTAAGGTGCCATCGTGTTTTACCTGGGTACGGGGGGGTCGGCAATATGGTATTTTCTGATGAGTAATAATACGGTACTTCACGGATTAACAAGTTTGTTAGTTTTAATTTTATTATATGAACTATGTATTATATTCAACAAACCGAAATTCGAGTATGTAAAAATCTACATATTCTCTGCCACTTCTATTATAAAATTTTATATATTAACCTATGAATCACAATTTGATACTCTGAGACTGCAGCTTTTATATAGGCCAGATTTATGCACAATTTATTTATTTCTGAGATTTCATATAACGCGGTTGGAGTCCATTCAATTTGTATTATTTTTGAATTTCTTATAGCACGGTTTCTTATAACGCGGCTGTGGTTTCTATATAACCCGGTATAAATTAATCTGTTTTGTCTTAATACTATATTTACCATAACGCAGTTTACATAAAATGCATTTCCTGATTTCAATTAATTCTGATTTTCTTACAACACGGTACGAATTAATCGCGTTATAGCAAATTTAACTATATATATATATATATAGAGGGTGGTGTCCCAGCAACGGTAATACAACTGAAAAAGGGATGATGTACACCGGAAAAACGAATCGGAAAAAAAGAATAAAATCTTTTTTATTCGAAACCTCATTTTCGACAAAACCGACTTTGAATATTCACCGAGTGCGCACACTTGACTATGGCTTATATCAATAAATCAACGATACAGCAGTATCGATAGTACAATCGGGGAGGGAATGATTATACATAAAAGAACAGATCAAAAATGAAGAATCAAATTTTTTCATTCAAAGTTTCGTTGTCGAGATAATCGAATTTGAATATTCACTCGAATACGCGAGCACTTAACTTCGGCTAAGGCGGATGGATCATCAATAGGATCAGTGTATTCGATGGGTACTCAAATTCAATTTTTTTGACAACAAAGCTTCAAATAAACAAATTTTATTCTTTATTTTTGATTTGCTTTTTCACGTAGAATCACCCTTTCCTCGGTTGCACCATCAACGGCGGTGTATTGATGATCTATCCATCTAACAAGGAAAGTGCAAGCCTTCGAATCACCGTTTTAGTTTAAAGTTTGCACATTGGTAGATTTCGTTTCCTAGTTTATGGAAATATACAATTATAGGGGTAAACACTCAATAGTCTTTTAAATATTTGCAATTAAAAATTCGTTGCTTTTTCATGTTATTTATTCATACTGCTTACCAAAATGCTGTTTGGTGTGGTAATAATGTGCTGAAATTCCTACGCGATATACTGGTGTTTCGATATGTGTAAACGGAGACAAAAATTTTTTTCATTTTCCTAAACGTGCTTTTTACTTTGTATCAGTTTACCGCATGTTAAAATCTATCATACATTTTTACGTACGATAAACTGATACAAAACAAAAAAGACGTTTATCAAAATGAAAGAAAATTTATCCCTTATTTACAGGAATTGAAAGAACCTCAGTATATCGCGTAGAATGTTCAACACATTGTTACTAAACCAAACAACTATTTGATAAACAATGTATATAGAAATCCATATAAGAAAGTAACGAATATTCAATTGCAAAGATTTAAAAAACTAGTGAGTCTTTGTTTCTACAACAGTATATTTTCATAAACAAGGGAACGAAATCTACCAATGTGCAAAATCTTAACTAAATCGGTGACCTAAAGGCTATGCACTCTTTTTGTAATGCATAGTTAGGTGCACGTGTATTCAGCAAATATTCAAAATTGATTTTCTCAAAACCCAAGCTTCCATTCAAAAAATTTAAATTCTTCTTTTTTTATTTATTTTTGCATGTAGAATCGCCTTTTTCTCGGTTATACTACCATTGCTGGAACACCCTATATAAATATAGATATAATATAATATATATAAATATAAAAATAAGTAAATATAAATATACATCGTTAATATATAAAAATAAATGTAACGAACTTACCAGTATGTTTCAAATCATCGTGCACCTCATCATCGAAACATTCTCCATAAATGGACACTCCACCTTTGCCAGTTCCAGTAGGATCACCACCTAAAATTTCATAATTTCACTAAAGATATACAATTTTAGTTTGTTCATTTTCATCTAATAGCTAAGTGAATTGTTTTCTAACCCAATTAACGAATAAACTAGAATTAATTGAATTTGGATGTATAACATTTACGTTTACACCTACTACACCGAATATAATTTTCTACTTTTTTTGTTACGTACAACTATTAATTTGTAATTATTCTTGTTTAAATTAAGCTGATAGTTTAGAAAACTATTCCATAAAACAATTTAAAATTTATTAATAACAATATAAATTATAATGAAAAATAGAAAACAATAAGATAATAAAGAAAATTGATGACATTAGAATATTTCTACATGAAAGAGGTAATCGTCCAACTTTATTCCTGATTTGATCTTGTATTCACAAAATTGAAGTACAATATAAAGTAAAGGAAAAAAACATACCTTGTACCATAAAATCTCGAATAACTCGATGAAATTTTGTTCCATTGTAATATCCACGCCGTGTAAGTTCAGCAAAATTTCTGCATGTAATTGGCGCATGTTTCCAGTAAAGCTCAATAACAACTTCACCCATCCTGTAAACCGGAATACTTTATTAATCATTTTATTATCATTTGTATAACATTTTAATATTTCTACTTTTCACACAACTTTGTAATAATATTTATAATTAAAATGAAATATTATATCTACAATTCTGAATCACATCACTCTATGTGGGCAATCTGAAACTTCTCGCGATATAATAACATTGTAATTGACTTAATTAGTAATTTAATCAACACTCTAGCAAAATTAAAAGTATGCCGACAATTTTGTTAGATTTCCAATGACTCACAGTAAATTAGATCCCTACCAAAAAGAACACCCAATGCTAGTTCGAATAACACTGATTCCTATTGATGAGTTTATTGACAAAGAGTACAATAAATTTATTTTAACACATTTTATTATATTTATTCTAAACACACGTGACAAACATACTATTACGACGCCAGCGAACAAGCGACTGAGGAACACGTGGTTTCCAGCGTACCCCCGGACATATTTGCTGCGCACAACACTGGCACGCATTCTTTGTCTCACAGCATGGCAACACGCACAATCCTTTGTTCGTAGATATATTGAAATCTATACATTGCCATACGTCCTAATAATTCCTTCGAAAAAATTGTAATATATTTACAATAGACACGTCCTCTATTCGTAAACATATGTAAGTAAAAGTGGTTAGACGTATCGGTGATGTACGTACGAGTCACGTTTGTTCCGGTAGAATTTCCGTTATACATTAATAAGTTTTAAATGTTACTAAATGCAGTTAAATATATAGCTTTAAAAAGCAAAGAATTACAAGCCAATAAATTCGTGTAATCGACTACACATATAATTAAATTAAAAAATAGAGTTCCATTACAAAACAAAAAGCAAGAAAAATAGGATCAATCAAACAAATTTTGTCTTTGGTAAAAAGGTAGCAAAATATTTTATTGTAGCAAGAATTGTATTGTAGCGCAGATAAACGGATGTTCTATTTCAAATACAATAACTATCCGTTATATATATAAACAGAACAAAAAAAATTCGAAATTATGGGAAGTCAATGAAGGAATCTAGTTGATGTTCTGATCACAATACAAATTATAATTACTCTTTTTGAACAAATCAAAAAATAAATCATTAATTAAGGAAGTAATTAAAAAAACATTAAAAAATGAAAAATAGTAGGAATAAAATAATTCATAACCTAATGCAAACTATTGTTGTGAAATCTGCTCAATCTTAATCTTAACTACTATAAAAACAATTTTATAAAGATCTATATGTAAATATATAAATATAATCATTCCGTACAAATTTAGAATAATAAAATAAATTTAATATTATTTCATATTAAGATTTTCATATTACTTTATACAGAAATACTTTGTAACTGCTGAAAATCTCATGGAAATTATGACAAAAGAAAAGCATAGATGCTGTTGAAGAATTAGCGACTACCTAATCCAAATTAGTATAATTGAAAAAATAAAATATAAAACTGTTTTACTTACAGGTAAATATTAGACGAGTGTTGAAACGAATTGACTCTAGAACGGGAACGAACTTTTTCACAAATAATACGGGTTTTTGAAACTTTTGAGATATTCACAAATGTTGGAATTTCCAGAAATTACTAGAATTTCTGGAAGTGTGGAGATTCTCGATACTTCGAAGAGTTTCAAGTGCCATTTCAATTTCGTCGCACAAGATTTCCTTAGTTATTTATTTATCGTGTTAATATAAAAAAATACTAGTGACCCCATAGTTATTAGGAAACATTGAAAAGTTTTGCAACACATTATAGAAAAAAATGTACACTACTATCTCACAGATATTTACTAATATTCACTTCAATCTCACCACGTAACTCTCGCCGCTACGCCAGGATGAGGACTAACTGATCAATAGACAGCAAGCAGCTACCACGGCTCCCCCCAATCGAAGCAGCTCCTTCTTTCTGTCTCTCAATCACGGCGCAACACACATGCATAGTATACGCAACACATGCGAAAATTTAAAATAAGACGTTACGCTTGCGTAGCACTTCTTACATTTTTGGTGTATTAATCGAACTCAACACTTATGAACATATTTAATAAAACAAATTCTAAAATAGCACTTGAAATTTTGATATTCTAGAATCTGAATTCTCTAGAATTCAAAATAATATCGAAAATTTTGAGAACCAGTTCTATCCCTGACTATATATCCTACGTCCTATCCCGAGCAGTAGGTTTCCAGCGTATTTGGATTACCACACACATTTTATAAATATACACGAAACATTATTACCCTGTAATTTCAACGGATCAAAGTCTTCTATTTCTACACCAAACGCTACTTTGGAATTACAACCTTCAGATTAACAGGAGAGCTACTAAACTCGTCAAAATGGCGGATTTCAAATTTTTTGCTTTTAATTTATTGCAAACGTGGAATTATTTTTAGCGAAATTAATATTATCTATTATTTGAATAAATATGTTATTATGCATGCCCATTTATTTCATCATACATCTTCATTATTATTATTATTATACGTATGCTACATTTAATGTATACATTATACATAACTCGGTAAATCTACTGTTAAGAAATTAACGAAAACTTCGAAATACTACCGCCACTGTTGCCGATTCTGCTATACGCTTCTATGTGTTGCCTCTGTTTGAAGACCTTCGTTTGGTAGAAACCGTTACAGAGCTAATCGCAAAGATCATATTTCCGAGCCGATGTTTTTCAGTTCGTGAATTTCTCGAGCTGCTTGATTTCTTACAACATTCTGACACAGGAAGTCGCGTGTAACAAAGTGAAACATTTACATTCAGTTGAAAAATTTATTTCTCATTGTTTTATTTTTATTGCTATTCCCTTTCTTTTATTATTTTATTATCATTATTATTATCATTATTTCCATTGTTTAGTTCCATTATCTTTATAATCAAAGAGTGCAACATTAGAAATGTGCTCGATGCTGTTATTATATAGGCAGTAATAATAGATATATCACAATATGTATTTATTGCACGAAGCATATATATATGTATATATGTATGTAGTGCTCATTCCATTCAGAGTCGTACAAGTATATGTAATGTATGGAGTACTAATAGAGATACTGAATAAATGTCACTTTCTTCAAATATCACGATGTTGTACTCTCTTATATTTACACAAAAAATGCAAAAGTAATACAAAACGGAAAATTAGTAGTAAATACACCCGTCCCTTAATTTACGCGGTTCTTATTTTCTTATTTATCTTATTTTATCTTAAAATATTATCGTAAAATCTTATTTTACGCGGTCAGATATGTACATATATATTTTCCTATAAGTTTTAAAATTGCCAGTTCTATATGGTCAGTATTGAGGTCGGTTGACGTCTGACAGAAAGAAACTTTGTTGCGTCAGACTCACACCAAGGCGTTGTTTCTGGCCGTTGGACCGTACAATGTAGAGGCGAGTAGTGTGACTTTGGACGTTAAGAGGACGACATCTATACTGTTTAGATTTATAATTTATATTTTTTAATCTTGACCCAGTCATGCCTAACAAACTTTCAACCACGCCAAAAAAGAGAAGGTCGATGCCTTTGGACATGAGAATGAAAATATTAAATCGAGTATATTTTTCAAAAAAAGAATATTACAAAATATCATACCCTGCTGATAATCAGATGGTTAACAGCAAGATAGCGAATATACATTCTCGTGGGAAACCACGAACGTGGGATATTGATCGCATGACTGTTTTAATCTGTCAAAGGTTGGGAACAGGACAGACGAGACGAAGGTGGCTAAAAGCTATGATGCAATAACGGAGAACCCCCCATCCCTCTCCCTAAACCAGCCAAACGCCATAGCGTGAACGCGCTGAAAACTGAAGGTCGAGAAAAGGAAACAAGTTTTTACCAAAACAGTGTGCCCCTAAAACTATGCCTCCTGAACCTAAGGGAACACTTTGTAACGTCGATGATATCATAGGCTCTACTCCTGTAACACAATTCTACGAGCAAAATTATTATCTATCGACCTTCCCCTTACTCTGTAAACAAGTACACCGCGATATGCAAAGCGTTGATGACTGACTGAGTAAGAAACTAGCATATGCCAGCATTATAAACGTTTCGCAAAATGTAAATCGTGAAGCCAATCACGTCTAAGGGTGACATCATACGCTATCCTGACGATATGAAGGTAGACAGGCCCAATCGCCGACTATCTTACCTTATTTAGCAAATGTGTCAGCATCACGAGACCAAATCGGGGTGAATGTTCCTAGAGTCTACATATCACAAGAATAAGGAGAGAATCAAGAGGAGAAAAACCTACAGCGATTGTTAAAGCATATGAAATAAATGAATTCATTGTCTGAACAATCAGGAAAAGGAAATAAAACATTAGAAGTACTGTGGCCTCTGGAAACTTATCAAGTTCACGGTGTTCATCGTACAAAACAAACCCTGAAATAGAAAATATGGAGAAAGCATTGACGATTTGAATTAACGACAACATAGATAAAAAATTCCCATGAATAGCTTAACGATTAAGAGAAAGAACCATAGATATTTTTAACAGGTTAAAAGAAGCTTTGCTGATTGATAAAATGAGTACTTTTCCTGCAAGTAAAGTGTGGTTTCAAAACTTCAAAAAAAGATATTCATTACGAAACCTTAAATTCAAAGATGAAGCTGAATCTTCTGATAAATCAGCAGCTGAAGAATTTTCACTAAAATTTACTAAAGTAATCGAAGAAACGGATATAATACGGATCTGGTATTTCATACCGATGAGACAGCAGTTTTCTGGAATATGGAACTATTGTAACACAAGATGCAAGTAGTATTAATGGTTTTACGGTTAACAAAGATCCTGTAAGATTGCTACTTTATTGTACCGCATCAATGGACTTGATTCGAACCCGATCTTATATACACTGTTGTCATCACCTGACGTTAAGATGGGGCAATCCTTATCTACTCATTACATCGGATACGAAAAGCATCGCAGAAAGAATCGAAGCCCCTTTTATTTTATACCACCAAGAAATTTAAAATTCTTTTATCTCTAACTAAGAATAGAAGTAGTTGTTGAATATTATTTACCCCTTTACTATAACATGAATAATAAAGTTATATTTATTATCTTGTGAGAGGAATCTTTATTTGGATGGTATCACCCTGCATCCACATCTATCTTTGGTCCACCACGCATCAGAGAAGCCCTGGAGCCTCCGTTTATTTTATACCATCAAGAAATATAAAATATAATCACAATCAAAAGTTCCTTTTGATTTATTAACCTGATCTTTACCACAAGTTCGAGTCTATTTGAACCCAATTACTTCCGAGGTATCTCAAAGCATGTTTTTCATTTCTTAAATTTTGATGACTGCTTTCATCTCTCGAATATGGTAATATAGAAAAATTCGTGTCAAATATTTTTTTGAAGACTCCTTCCTGAATAAATAAAGAGAAATCGATATAGCGTATTTTCTTTTCATTTTGAAAGACATATACCAAAACTAGTAAATAGCATTCCATGCAAAAAGCACGAAATCACCTTAGAGTGATATTGAAAAATTGAAGATAAAAACATTTTTGTCACAATGGCGTTCTACATAAAAGATTGTGATAAAAATGTCCCTACACTTTTATACTATAAACTATCGTTCGGCGATTATATCAACTGTAATTATATATATATGATAAACATCAATTATTACTAATATTCTAAATACTTGTGGTTTTATTTTACAATTAGTACATTGTAGTACACAAATACTACAATATTTTTTACAATATATTAAAACAAAAGAAAAATAAATATAGTAATTGCTATATACTTACGTTGTTTCAAATGCTACGAACGGTGGTTGCCAATGTTTGTCAGGAATACCAGATATATTTGCAAGCGCCATATTCTCCTCACCTGATAAAATACAAATGATTTAAAAAATATCCTGTAAAGTATTATGCAAATATTTTATTAGTACGTGATGTCGCAATAATAATTTAATAAAAATTGAAAATGTAAAAAACATAGTATGGAAAAGTTGATCTACTGTATCATAGTGCATATCGGCATTGTGTTATGCTGAACTTATTTATATTCTGATAATCGTAAGCTACCAGTATGAATGTACAAGTTGTAAGAAAATTGATTGTCTCGACCACTACTTATTGATTCTACATTTTCAGATCGATGAATGTTAGATGTCAGATGTTAGATGACTGCTAGTGAAGCAAGGAAAAAGCCTTTCATAAGCGAAATTAAGAATAGAATTCGCGAAAAACTATATTTCAAAGCCTCCTGAACTTTGCCATTATGTCATCTTTTCCGATGGAAACAAATTTAATATTTGGGGCTTCGACGATCCGCGATAAGTTGGCGAAAACCAAACACGGATTTACATCCGAAAAACTTGCGTAGTAGTACTGTTAACCCATTTGCATCATGCTCTACTTAAGGTGCCGTGTTCAGGCATCAGCGACGTTCAACTGACGACAAACCCGTATCACCGTACGCGTATTAGCACCTACTCATGACAGTTAAAAGGATTTTCACAACAAAAGTAAAATTTGTTAAGAATATAATGAACCGATGTAAATGAGATGCTCACAAAAGGGATCAAACGTGATCTGTGGCACATGAAGAATATTCAGCAACTGGTAATGCAAAAAGTCAGCTCGCGGATTATTCCGCGCACGGTGATAGGCAACGGTCGTAGCTCGTGGAATATTCCGCGCTTGGATGCAAATGGTTAAGCATGGAGGCGGTCATATAATGGTTTGGGGCTGCATTAGTTATCATAGTTGGGTAATCTGCAAATTATTACGGACACAATGAACAAAATAATGTACTTAAACATTTTAAAAGAAAATTTAAAGCAAAGTGCTCAAAAGATGGGGATCCTAGACAATTTTCACTTTTACCAAAATAACGATCCCAAGTACAAATCAAAAGTAGTGCAAGAATGTTT